ATGGCTCCGGCCACATGAAGCTCGCTTATGTAAAGCTCCGACGTGCACCATCTGAGGCGCCAAGAATTTTAGGGGTGTTACGAAAGACGCGTGCGCTGGTTAAAGGGTCTTAGAAACCGCCTTTTCAGCGCGCAGGTAAATTCGGTCCGGGCGTATACTGCGTGGGACAATCCTGACAAGGTGTTAAGAAGCAAAAGGTCCGATCCTTCCTAGAACGGAAGTGAAGACTTCGTTTTCACCGAGCACTTCTGTACACGATGGTGCGTTCACAGGAGCTGTAGTCACCGCAAAAGAGGACTCCGGCGTTCCCTTCGGTCGAAGGGGGACAAAAAAAGCCCTAAACATCAATAGTAAAAAGTAATTTATTATTTCCTGTCGAAGCAAAACTCACAAAGGCCTTAAAAAACAACACTGACAACGACGGCCGGGCCAGAGACGGGGTAACAAGTACTCCACTACCCTCGTTTTCACTTTGTCGCGGGAGATCCCCGGTGGCCTGCCGGGCACCGGCCCACCCGCAACACGGACCACGTTTCGCGTAGTTACTGTCGCTGGGAGATGGTGGTGTTTTGTTGGTGGGTAAATATATTTGTGGATAGTAACTGTCCCGTGGGTGTTCGGTTCATTGTTAATGTTTACTTAATTCAGCCGTGTCGCCGGGTTAACTTTTTACCCTGAATCCGGCATGAACTACTAGTTTAGTGAATTTGTGTTTCAGGTAGGAGGACAGGAAACCTAACTTCGTGAACGCCAGTAAAGTCGACTAGGAAACAGGGAGGTCAAATTAGTAACATATTCGAGTATCCGTTTGAAGAACTTCATGTTTAAAACCGAGCTCACTTAATTCCACAAGGTCGTGCTACAGTAGTAACATCGGTGGCGATCTGATTAAGTAACATTAACAATGAAACGACACCCACGGGACAGTACTATTCACTCGGTAGCCTTACTATTGAGATTTGAATATCGATATAGTTATATTTTAAGCGATCAGCATAGATCAAAAACTAGATAGCTAGTATTTAGATAGCTAATCAAAATACTAAGCTTTTATTATTTTCATCCCATCTGTACACCTATAATAGGCCGACCTTGTTTCAACATGTAATACTACCAGCGCAACAGCACAGAATACTGTACACGACATGAAAACAATGCTGGGCCCACGATAAAAGGTTTTAGCGACATATAACCTCATATTCTAAGGGTAAACGAGACAGACAGACTTCACCTCTATGTCGAGACACTGCATTATAGAGAAGAAAAATTCTCCTTTCGCCCGATGAAGGCCCAAAAACGCCCTGCGACCCCTGTATGCTGGACATTGGAACAGTCCTTCGGCGGCACTCGATGACGTAGTATGCTTGAAATGGTGGCTCTGGAGCAGCCTTCCTCGACATTGAGAAACACCCTCTGTCTGAGCCTGCGCACCAACGAGAGAGAGCCAAAGTCTAAACTAAGGTTACTCTCCATCTCAGGGCCGTCCCTCCCTACAGGCCGATCATGCAGACTGTGTGGGGACTCACCTTGCGGAGGGGGCCTCATCTTGAGGAGGGTGCCTCAACTGAGCCGAAAATGCGGCGCACCTATGCGGCGCAGTTAGTGTGGCGCGGAACGGTGTTGCCGCTGCGAGGCTCCACTAGCATCCCCCCCTCCCCGACGCTCGCGAAACAGAGGGGCTCATGACAGGCCCCCGATCTCCGTAGGCCCCTGGGCTTCAGCCCAGGTCAGCCCGTGCATTAAGGCGGCCCTACCCACAGGAGCAATTTGGGGTGAAGTGTCTTGCCCAGGGACCCAACGACATACTGACTGCAGTGTGGTTTTGAACCTGTGCTGCCCTGATCCGAACACCAACACACTAACCCACTGCGTCACACGCCTCCCGTGACATGGGACAGATCATGTGACGTGTGTGTGTGTGTGTGTGTGTGTGTGTGTGTGTGTGTGTGTGTGTGTGTGTGTGTGTGTGTGTGTGTGTGTGTGTGTGTGTGTGTGATGGCTGGGTTTCAGAGCTCCTGAAGGCGGATCGGGCACAGGTTCTTTCTTTGTATACATTTCCTTACTTTTTACTAGAAACACCTGTATCTGCTGGATTGACGATGCTACAGATGTTGTTCGTAGGAACCATTGTGTGTGGCCAGGGGGAAATGATTGAGGAAGCCAATGATCTCCACCTTGAACACGCGTGTTCTCCACAGAGACAAATGCACACTCACATGTTGTGAAAACAATTTTAGCAAACCGAACCCCTGCAGGGGGGTCTGGGGGAGGAAGTTGTATTTTTTATTTTAGCATTTAAACTATGCATTCAGTTTTCATCAATTTTTCTTTTTAAAGTTCTATGCCTGCGCCCTTCTGCTGTCAAGCGGGAGCCATGTTTTGTTTTACATTGTCTATTAAAAGTTTACTAACATGTCCAAATTGCACATCTTGACACTAAACCAGTGTTTTGGTTTAGGCCTATTACATTTCTTTGTGCTCGCAATTTTTCAGAACATTTATAAGTTATACTTTTCCCCAGGGTGTCCCCAGCGTAAATGACGCCTATGTACGGAGCCCCCTAGTGGACATGGAGAAGAAAAAAAAATTATTTGAAAAAAAAATGTTTTGGGAGATATCGCAAAACCTTTGCGAGATATCGCAAAACTTTTCATTTAGCTCAATGTACCTGGTCAGTTCAGCTGCTACGGCAACACAGAAACCACAACAATGGAGCGGTTCATCGATTTTACTTTGAGCTTGGCCTTAAATATAAAGATATAACATCAGTGCTTGGCAATAGGCACGGGTTTCACACATAGACTGTATATATAAAGGGTTTCATATAAGTGAAGGCACCTCAAGAGAACACTCAGAGCGAGGGGACATGCACGTCCCTCTGAGCTGAGTTATTGACAGATTCGAATTTCACGGATCAATAACTCATGAACATAACGTTGTAAAAATACAAACAACATGACTTTACAAGCATAGCAAGGTAGACAACGAGCTACAGTGTCGTTTTTATCAGAACAGTTCGATACGCGCCGTCATCCTAGCTAAACATCAAGAATTGGTCACAATCTGCAGCTTGAGGAGGGAGAGGAGTGCGTCTACAAACTGCAACGGGGTTTTGCGAGATCTGGCAAAAGTATTGCGAGATCTCGCAAAAGGTTTTGCACATTTTTTTTTTTTTTCTTCTTCTCCATGTCCCCGAGGGGGCTCCGTACCTATGGATATGCAACGCATGGGATATAATCATAATATATTATTCACAAGATCTTCTGACCACAAACAGTTGAATTGAATTGCACTTGGCTAAATGACCACTAAGCTGCCCTTTTCGAGTTAGTTGTGTGTTATAATATAACAGTATAGGATATTTTAATGTATATATGTTATCATTTTAAATCTGTCTCTTTGTGCAGTCCAGTCCACCACCATGTGTGTTTCATTGTTTTAAAATGTATGCAGTTAAAATCCAGAGGGCAGCTTAATGTCCATGCTGCCTTCACGTAACCTCGGGGTTTTTGGTTCCAACGTGTGTAATAACGACACCGTAGTGCGGCGGTAGTAGAAACCCACAGTTCATAACATTATTTTTTATTTTGTTTAACTATTGTAGTCTTTCTATTCATGTAGTTAAGAAATGTCATTATAGGGGAACTTGTTAACTTTGTCAGACACAGGTGGTTGAACGAATCGGCCTGTGTTAAATGATAAGTATCGCGTTGTTCTGCTTTATTTCAATGTATTTATTGGTTGAATGAGTGCTGTGTATCGTGAAGCATGTAGCGTTTTTACGTCTGAAAGCTTTGACAAAAACTGTTTTAAATTCAAATAGTAAAAGTGAGATCTGTGAATTGTGAGGTTATGGGCAGCAATTGAATGCATCGCTGCGTGGTAAGAACGGGCGGTGCTGCTGCAGCACAGGTACACACTTTGCTTCCTGAACACAGCCAAAGCGGCCTTTTTCACCACTCCTGGATCCAAAAAATCTTACAATTTTAAACAAATCCGCAGCCATGGCGGAGGAGGCTGACAAGGTAGAGACCGCGGACAGCGAGCAAGAAGAGGAAGTGGAGGCTCAGTACGAAGTGGAGCGGATCATCGACATGCGGGTGGAAGAGGTAAAGCTAGCTAAGCTAACTAGCTAACAACATGGTGGCATTGCTATATTCTCCACTCCTGCTGTGCATAGCTCACCTACAACAATATGCAGACACATATTGTTACTTTAACACCTGTCTGCAGTGTATTTCAAGTTCATTTTGATGCATGAAATGGCATTTTCGTGCACATATAGCATCGGGCTTTTTAGCACAACTTCTCCCTTGAGGAGAGCGGACATCGCTCTCCTCCAAGGACGGCCGCCCTGCAAGCTTGCAGTTCTTTTTTATATCTTATGCACATGCATAGCTAAATAAAAACAATTCCCCAGAGTATTGCCGATTTTGTTGTTCATTAAACATATTGCATAGGGAGTTTTCACAGCGGTAAGCACTATAAATTAGCCTAATTCCTGATGTGTATTTACTAACGGCTGCTGACGTTACGCCGTTATTGGCATGACAACAGATCACTAACGTGTGTTTTGAAAGAGAAATGCATCAATGCATGATAATGAACAACACACAGTGGTGTAAAGTAACTAAGTCGATTTACTCAAGTACTATACATAAATGCAATTTTGAGGTACTAAGATGAATATTGGCATGTATTTATTCTTATCATTCAATTATTCTGAAATGGACCAATCTGCAGAATGAGTACTTTTACTTTAAATATATTTTGATACTTTTCTACATTTGGATTGCTTGTAATTTGTATCCCTACTCTCTGGTACTTTTACTTTGGCCTAAGTACTTTTACCACCTAGGCATGTATTATCTTAACATTATGATATTTTATAGAATAATTAAAAAAACAAGTTACTTTTAATAATAAAAGAACACACATTAACCATGGGACAGGTGTTTTATTTTTTCATATTTAATAATAAAGTTAATTGTATAAACCGCTAGAAAGTGCTTCCCAAAAGAAACATTTAAAACACAGAATGAACACGTTTTTATTTAAATGTTTGCATTAGGTTTACAAAGCAACTTGTTCACACTTAAATATAATATATACTCCCAGTGATTAAAAGTTGATGTTTTTCTTACAAACTTTAAAGGATTCTTCACGGTCAACTTGTTTTATTTACGGTCATTTAAACGTTTTCCCCATCTTTCAACACACTCAAATTCCTTTATGAGATTTACAAATAAACATAAGTGTATTCATGCTTGAGGAACATTGTTATTCTGGAATGATTTCACTTAACTGAGCTCTTTCCTATTGTTTTTTTATTTAGTTTTTGCATTTTCATGACGAGAATCAGGAATAAGCAAAGTGTTGATTCAGTAGCAGCTAAATTGTTGTATCCAACTGAACAAAAACTGTATTCATGTTTCTGTCAAAAAATGTACTGTTAAATTCAGTTTCCACATCTCAAGAGTAAGCTATTTTTAAACCTGTAACACATTCACAGTGGCAACAAATAAACAAATCTCCAGCTGCAGAGCCATCCTCACTGAACCATTTATCATTATAAAACTTTAATTATGCAGCATCACTTCAAACACTGACTTAACGCATTTCTTGATCGATTTAAATACACATGAAATTGATGTTTAACAACATATCGTACAGGAGAAACCCATTTTGGCCAAATAGCTGGAGAAAGTGAAAGGAATCATGCTCTGATTTGCATTGTAACCACATAATAAGAACCACAAATTGAAGGCGAATTACCTCAATGACAGATTAAAGGGACTGCTATGTAGGGAGACTTGAGGGACTACTAGAATCTGCTAAATGAGGATCACATGGTCATGGAGGTGGTGGAGCTAATAGGATCCCTAGTGAGTTATTAACACACTTGGCTTAGTGCTGGTCTCCAATTTTTAAAGAGGCTTTTTAGAGCCTCAAGGGGTTTGCGCCACCTGTGTAGAAAGGCTCACAAAAACGGAGGAGAGTGAAAACAAACACATTTAGGAAGTAAGCCTTGCCTGCTGGCAGCTCTACATGAAGATGCAGCCATTAAAACAGACACTTTATGTACTGGTGCAGCGATGCACAACATGGGAGCCCAATGTCATGGATTAGAGTTATAAAGGGCTATACACTAACTGTTTGTGGGTGAAGAAGGTGCACCAAAGCAGACATACTTATCTATGTGTGAAGTAAGGGGGAAGAGGAAACCTATGCATGTTTACATAATAAATGGAACACAATATCTAAAGTCAGTGCTAAGATAATCAATATGATAACTGCACGAATTTGCTATATCAGAGAAAGATTGTTCCTTCAAAGACATGTTTTACCGATTAGTTTTTGGGACATGTCTTTAAATCCATGAGAGATTAAGAACGTTGTTTCACTTAATTACTTTTACTCTTTCTCATTTGATGTATGTTATAGCCTCAGTATTAATTTTGCAGCCCTTCAACTAACCCACCCCCTTTATGAAGACATTGTCCCGGCTAAATAGAAAAATTATTTAAAAATCTTAACGTAAATCGAGATTATTCTTGTTTGTCAAACAAATACTATAACTAGGAGACTTCCTCTGGTTACTCCACAATAAAAGCCATGTTGTTGCACACTTTTTCTCTCTTTTCTTTGATCTCTTGATGGTTGCACTTAATGTTGTCTTTTTAGCCTTTAAAATCTTACTGTTCCACTTTTTCTGCCCAATGAACACTTGTTGACACTGTTATGAAAACTAAAAATGAATGAGTAAAATAAAAATGTCCTCCCTCAAAATACTCAGTTAAAAATGGTATTTAGCTTGTCTGCAATGTTTATCACAGGAAGCCATCATCAGATTAGCTGGTAAACTACTCGGTAGATACATTCTGGCAGCTACCAGCCACCCTGTCAGGTTGATGTTGATTGAATGCTGGAGATTCATATCCCTCTCTTTCTGTTTTCAGGGCGAAGTGCTCTACAGAGTCCGCTGGAAGAACTACTGCTCGGACGATGACACTTGGGAGCCAGAGGCCCACTTGGAGGACTGTCGTGAGGTCCTCTTGGCTTTTAAGAAGAACATGGCTGAGATCAAGATCAAGAAAGAGGCAGAAGCCAAGAAGCCCCCGGTACGTCTAAGTGACTGTCTGCTAAACAGAGTATCACTGATACTATATTCACTGTATTAATAAGACAGGCGTTAGAAACAGCATTTAAGCAATACGGTATTACCCCTAATTACTGATTATGGCTTGTTGGCATGACCAACTGAGATAGATTGTTGAACTCCCCACTGCCAAGAAATGTGTCCAAAACACATACGTAGATATTTATATACCAAATATCTGAGCGAGAATAGATATATAGCTATCCTTTTCAGAAAAACACTGGGTTTTAACCCTTGTGTTGTGTTCCAAAGCTGTTACCGTTCATGGTGTTCGCGGATCAATTTTGACCCATGATTTATCTCAGTCCAAAACACACAAAAATAATTACTATCATCCAATATTGTTTGAACTACATCATAACTAACTTATAATGCATAACCTTACAATCCTGTTGTAATTTAATGTTATGTCCCCAAAACACATTACACCACATATTGCCCATGTGCATGTGTGTGTTCAAGTGTTAGTGTACATATACTTTGAGAAAGGTGGAGGGGCAGAGGGAGGGGAGACCTGGTGCATGTTGCGAAAAATGATTGTTCCAGTGGATGAAGGGGGTGTGGTGTCTAAAGTCAAAGATGAATCTTGATTGGGCCAAATTTGACCTCGAGTCACCCCCAACAATGCTGCTGGGTCTTCCCAGACCCGAACACCAAATTATACGCTTTTTTTTTTTAGAGACCTTCAGACTTGGCTAAAATGGTAAAAATCAGTTTTGTAGTGTTTAAATAGCTGTTGTGGGGGATATCATGAAGCCTTGTTCCGATAACAAACAAAAAACTAGAGCGTAGTTATTATATCATTTTAAGTTGAAACGGGTCACGGGAGACCCGAACACAACAAAAGGATTAAGTTCACTAAGAAGATTATCTGAGAAATGATCAGAGAGTAGACCGTTAGACTTGTGGAGCCCTTTGAAGATTTCAGCCGCTAGTATTTTTTAAATTCATGTTGCCTAAGCTAGACAGCCAAATATAATATCTAAATCTTATTGTGCTTTATCTGTCCTTCTAATAGAAACCTCTGCCTTCAAAGAGCGAATTGTTCGATGCAAACTCAGACATCGACAGTGACAAAGACCGTCCCACAGAGGCACCCGTCAAGAAGAAGAAAAAGATAAGGGTACAGGAAGAAGAAGAAGAAGAAGAAGAACTAAAAGAGGAACTACCTCCAAAGGAGAAGAAGAAGAAGAAGAAAGAGAAACGGAAGGAGCAGTTGAGGCCGATCCCGGCACCAGACACCGACAAAGAGGAAGAAGAAGAAGGAGAGAAAGCCCCGACTCCATCCTCTCCTGCAAAGGAGAAAAAGCCTGATTTGAAAAAGCGTCTGGTTGAATCTGAAGATGAGGACGATGAGCCTGTTCCCTCCAAAAAACACAAGAAGGAGAAGGGAAAAGAGGGAGGGAAACAAAAGAAGGACAAGGTAGAGGAGGGGAAGAAGAGGAAAGGGAAGAAGGACAGGAAGGTGGAAACCTCTGAAGATGAGGCCGCTGCACCGCTGGAGGAGAACCAGAGCGACGGCCCATCAGAGTCCCAGATGGACGACAATGCCTCAACGGATACCGTGACAAAGCCGGCAGAAAAAGCCCGCGTTGACGACAAGTCCAAACTTACCAAGGGGAGGCTGGAGGTGAAGCTGCAGGGCATTAAAGACCTCATCCACGAGAAAAGGAGCAAAAAGCCAGACGCCGCTCAGAAAGAAAGCAGCCTCCAAAAACTGAAGAGCCTCACCTCGAAAGTGAAAGAGGACACCGCTCTGCACTCGGACTCTAGCGATAGCTCCACCCTTCACAAGAAAGCCAAGAGCAAAGGGCAGGAGATCACGCCCGCACCCCCCAAAGCCCCGTCTTCCTCCACATCCTCATCGTCCTCCTCTTCCTCGGTCACACCCGCAGTCGGCCTCAAGTCGAGGGAGGAGGAGGTGGCGGCGGCTAAAGAGGAGCCGTTGGGAGCGAAGGACGCTGCAGGCTCCACTAATCTGTTTGAGAAGTTCCTGTTAAACTGCGAGGCCAAAGACCGCGCCCCCCGCAGGCAGCCCGGGCATCAGACCGCCCCAGAGAAGACCAGCAGCAAACCCACAAAGGTGAAGTCTCTCCCTCTCTCTCTCAAATGGGTTGCATGTTTAATTTGACCAAAGTGCATACACACTTTATCTAATTAACATTTCTGGAAGGTAACATTAAGCCACACATGGAAAATGGAGATTTTCACATCATACATGCTTTTAAGTTCTTTGAAAATTGTCTATTGATAAAAGTTGTATAAATGATTGATTTAGGTAATGAGATGTAACATCACTGCTTGCGTCCTGGGCCTTTATCCTTCATGAAGCTTTCTTAAACATGTAATAATACGCACATTTTGCCGGACGTAGCAACAGAAAGTGCATAAAATGCCTCTGTTCGAAAAACGATATAGTAAAAGTGAATCATTTGGAAGTCAGGAGAGGACCACATTCATATTTTTTTCAGAATAAGCAATACCCTTAGTTGTCATAATTCTGTCAAATGTTTGAACTTCTCATTTACCTTAGTTACCATTCATGTTTGCGCTGTTCTTGCTACTCCGGTGAGTTTACCTCCAAGAACTACAAGCTGTTAACATTGTATTTTCCCCACTTCTAGCTAATAGGAAAGATTGAGAAGATCCCCAAGGCAACCAAAGAGTCTCCTGCTCAGAAAGCAGAGTCCGAGAAGACGGAGAAGAACAAGCAATCGGAGGGTATGCATGACACCGGCACAAAAAAAGACATTTCGTTTTTTATGTCTTGTTTTTTGTGTAAATGCCTTTTGAGGCACTTTGAAGCCCAAGAAATATGACGACTTGTCTGCTGTCCTTTAGCCTCCAGACCTGGCCAGAGCTTTGGCTTCAGCCTGGACAGCGAGGAGAGGGAAGCAGAGGACACTCCAGCAAAGCAGAAGCCTGGAGAAGATTCCCGGGAGAGGAAGGAGAGATCAGAGGAGGCACAGCGGCCCGGCTGGGAGAGGAAGCCTCCTGCAGAGGACAGGAGGAAGAGGAGAGAGGACAGCGAGACCAGGCTCTTCATGGCATGTGACGACAATCAGGACTCCCAGGACCCACCGGGGGGCGCTGACAAATCTGGTATGCATCTGATTGGCCACTGAGAATGTGATCATTGCTGCTTACAAATATCCAATTGTTTTTTATTCATAATGAAACAACAATCTTGTAACTTTGATATGTCCATTTTCGGTTGACCTCAGAATTGAAATAATTCAGAGGTAGGATTTAAGTTGGACAAATGTATGACTTTTAACTTGAACATTTTTTTTTTTTACTTTAACCGAACCATCCAAAGCAAACTTGGACTGTAATACCAATGTCTTGTGAGCTATTTTGGAAGTAAAACGTTTATTATTTAAATCTCTTTATTTCCGAGAGCCTCCTCCTAAACACAGGGCACTTAAACTTGAAAGAACATGGACATTATAAGATGTTATCCTCTCCTGGAAACAACTTTATTTTTTCACCAAAAACTACATTTTACAAGATAACATTGACTTGCAAAACAATGAATCGTTCCATCCCTGCTACAAACACTAACTGAAGTTCGAAGCATATGTAAGGAAGATTTTCAGAGTTGCAGTTTGCAAAGTTTCAAGCTGCCAACTAATGAAGTATCTCTCTCTCTGCATTGTGTGTTTTAAAGACAAGGGCCAAGCCACTTTGAGTCTAGGAATGGACCTGAACCTGGACTGGATGACGCTGGATGACTTCCAGAAACATCTGAACGGAGACGACGAGATCCTGTCAGGTCCTCCATTATCACCCAGTGAGTATTTCCATTCACATCTCAGACACTGGCATTTGAGACGCTGCTGCTGCTATCTAGAAGCAGTCAAGGAGTTTTCAGGAACACATTTATTGAAGGCCAACCGTTGAATATGAACAGTTGAAGTTTCATTACATCTTCCGGCGCAGACTAAAAACTCATCTCTTTCGACTCCACTTTGAGCAATAAAATGACTAACAAAGCTTGTATACTATTAAAGGACTGGCTTATCTAAAGCCAGTTGAGTAGCACTTGAAATGTTTTGGCTCAATGAAAGCTGATGTACTTCAAGTTTGTTTCTTCCTGGTCAAATGCACTTACTGTAAGTTGCTTTGGATAAAAGCGTCAGCTAAATGCAATGTAATGTAAAATGAACTACAAACATAACAGGCCAACATTAAGAACTTCAACAAAAAAGTAATGCTTACATTCCTGCTTATAAAATCATTAAGTAACATTTTAAAAATACCATAACGGTTCTGGTCTGGCCTCATGTTTATTTTAAATTTTTAAAAGATGTTCATATAATTTTTTTTTTTTTTTCCACAATATGTATCTTTGACATCTTCAAATTCCATCTTGTCTCCGTCAGGTGAATTGCGGGAAGCTGTGAAGAGTGGAGATTACATGGCTGTAAAGTTGGCTCTTAATTCCAAAGAGGAGTACAATCTGGACCAGGAGGTATGTTCCTTCGCTTACAAAATGTTTTGTTTTTGTTCATCTTATAAAACAATCAGCTGACCAATCTGCGATTTAAAAAAAAATGTTGTGTTATTTATTTTATTTAGATATAGCTTCTTGATATTTCAAGACAAAACCACATTTAAAAAATGTTACAGCTAGCACCTTGGTGGCCCCCAGTATGTGTGTGAGTGTGTATGGAAGTGTGTGTGTAGAAAAAAAACAAATAAGGTCAAAGACTTGCTCGGCCATGTCATCACCGTACAAAATGTTGAACTTACGTTGAGTTGAACTACATTACATTTTGCTCAAATGGAAGCAAAGTTGTAGAACGGTTTCAGATCCATATCACACGAACAACGGTTGAACAAGAATTGCTTTTGTCCCATGTGCAATGTCCTCACGTGAGACATTTTTTACATTTTTGAGCACAAATCCTCCTATTCATTTTGACTAGAGTTGGATAGATTTTCCGGTTTTGCCGGCCCAATGCGGTGTCAGGCTACTGCTGACAAACCGTTAAAATTTACTGACAAGCTGAGGCGACTGTCAACATGAAGGTGAAATGTCAGTAGCGGTGGGAGAGGGTTAGATCAGCACATTGTGTTTGTTTACTAGTTTTATTTTAAGGTGACATGATACAGCCAAATTGAACTCGAAGAGAAAAAAAAGGCGCTGGATCACTGCGTCTTTGCGCGCCACCATCTTGGATCATCGCGTCAAAAGATGTTCTTTACGACATTGTTTCTGTCTCAGATAAAATCATGTATTTGTGATTTGACTACATTTGAAGACTTATGGAGACTCTTTGGAATATCTGAGGACACCCTAAAATAATTGTACACGTCAAATAGAAATGACTTCATACCGTCACAACTAAAGGATCTAAACAAATAACCCAAACGGCGCTTCTATGAAAAAAAATGTAAACAGTGCACCAAGGAATCTCTCTCTTCAACATTTCAAACCTCAGACTTAACGGTTTCATGTCTACTAATAATTGAATGCTTCAAGATATTCTCAATCACCAACTCCAAATCACCTTCACTTCTGCTACAAACCCAGGTAAGAGTGTGCCATTAAATGTTTTATCAAATTAAATATTTGACATATGTTGAGGGATATTTCAATATTGTGAATATTCTTTTATGTAGCCATTTAGTTTGATTACAATTTTGTTTTTTTTAAGCATGGAAAACTTTGTGGTGGTTAATAAAAGTTCAATTAAACATATCATGTTTTTTGATTACTTTCAACGTGAACTGTATTGTTGTAATATGGGCAGAAGATTATAAAAGCTAACAAGAATCTTCACCAAAGTAAATTGCCCATTGCTCTAATAACACGTGATGTTAGCAGCTAGTGGAGTTGTACATTGATAACTTGGACACTTTATTCGTTCAACATTATTAATTCATGATGATATGTACACATTAGAGACTGTTGTGTCATCTTTCCTTGCAGGTAACCCAACAATGGAAGAAGACACTGAAAACATGAAGTATTGGGACAAGATGATCTCTATGAAGCAGGTACTTACTGTATATGCTCTCAGATGTTTCATAATCATTAGCATAACACAACATGTGCAGCCAGCATGCACCAGTACTATCATTTAATCAACATTATATATATATATGTGTTTTTTTTACATCTTAAAATGGCTGAACACCATTCAATTGTTTTGCATCTGTACCTAGTCACCCATTTTTTTTATATTATACTGGAGGAAACTGCTATGCTAAGCCTAAAAGCTGTTCATAACATAAAAAATATGTTTTCTTTAAATGCAAGAATTCAATGTAGGTCTAGCGTCAGTGCCTATTCTGTTCACTTCATGTAGCATTTCATCCAACATGCCATGACTACATATACTTGGTTAGACATTTACAATATCAAAATGCTTGATCCAATAAAGCCATTAACTGTTCTCGAATGGGTCACATGTGGTTTTTGTACTGGAGACTTGAGAGGTGTCAAAGGGTCTTTTGTTACCGATGTTGGTCTAAAAGTGATGTGTGGCCATCACATTGACTTGTGTTTGAATGAGCCTGGATCTTGGTGGGGCATAGCCAAGGTGCTTATGCGTTAAAAAGCATTTGAAAATGTGCAAAGAATGTTTAAAAGACGGTACCAAAAACGAGTTGCCTGACTTTCAAACCTATGAAGAGCCAAAATTCAAACTAAAATATACGTTTATTTTATTTATCCCACATTGAATGGGTCTGTGCTTTAGGTTCACTCTGTAAATTATACATGGAATCTGATTTGGCAATGAGTCTTACATATACTTGTTCTCTTGCAGGCTTGTACTATTGGTGAGGCGAGGTCATTTGAAGGCGAGAGGAGCTTGATTGAAGAGAGAAGTTCGGGTGATGCTCTTAGGTTGACTTCTGACCTTGACAGTGCCAGAAATTACGAGGGTACTCAAAGAGTAAAAGAGAATTCCCCACAAGGTATGGAGGTAGAAAGAATGCCAAGCTGTTCTGCCAGTATAAATGCTGAGCAAGTGACATTCAGGGAACATGAACTGGTCCCAAATGGTGAAAAGGATATAACGGAATCAAAAAGTGCTGCTTCTGATTCTGCTGCCAAGCAGGAAAGTCAAGGAAAGGAAGACCAGAAGCAAACACAGGAAGACGAGATGTCAGAGGACGCAAATGGTTGTTTTACAAGTAAAATGAGTTTGAACTTTGCTCATTCAGATAACACAAATGCAGAAGGGATGCTTACAAGAAACGATGACAATACAGAACAAAATGGCATTGCCCCTGAGGACTCAAATGGCTCAAGTGATGAGGCAGAGGCAGGTCAGACAGATGGTAAAGATACATTTCGGTCAAGCACAAAGGAGATTCGTAAAAGGCGACCATGGCGTCGCAGAAGATATGTGGAGAGAAAACAACCAGCACGATCCAGTAAGAGAGTTATTCAGTTCACTCCTGCTGTGGATGAGGAAAAAAAAGAGCCGGGTAAAAAGCACTTCTGTTTATATTGCAAAATCGCTTATACCCAACTTGCAAAGCACTTGGAAAGAAGGCATGCAGAGGAAACAGATGTTACCCATGCAATACACTTTCCCAAAGGTTCCAGAGTTAGACAGAGTCTACTTGACCAGATTCGAAATAAAGGAGATTATGAACATAATTGCCAAGTTCTCAAAAGTGGCGAAGGGGAAATTGTCACCAAGAAACAGGTTAAAAATCCCAGCATATCAGTACGTGACTTCCTTCCTTGCCAGCACTGCTTTGCTTTTTATCGCAAAACAGATTTATGGAGGCATGAGCGGTCATGTAAGGCCAGAAAGGGAGATCAGAAATCTTCTGATAAAACTAAGAAAAGCAGAGTCCATAGTGCTGCATCCCGCCTGCTTCCAATGTCAGAGTTCTTAATTGGTGGTTGCGAGGAAATCATCCACATCATGCATCAAGATGACATTTCAAGGCATGTTAGAAACGATCCCCTTATTTGTAAATATGGAAATGCATTGTCTGCCAAGTATGACCATGACAAGTCTCAGTTTGCTTATATTGCACAAAAGATGAGGGAATTAGGTAGATTTGTGGTCGCTGTAAATGAGCTTGATGGCAGCGTAAAGTACCTGCATGAAATATGCCTTCCATCCAGATTTGGATTAGCCATTGAAGGGGCCAAAAAACTAAGTGGCTTTGACCCCAGTTCCAGTAAGTTTAAAACAATTTCCCTCGTCTCCAAGATTCGCTACTCTCTGAAACGTGCTGCAGAAATAGCTTTTGGGGAAAGCCGCATGACAGAGGACAGTGAAACAGAAACTGAAGTAAGAAAGTTCATACAACTTCTCGATACAAAGTGGAGTGAGTGTTTTTCTCGCAAAGCTCTTGCATTATCCCAAAAGCAAGACGTTAAGAAAGTGGAAGTAGACAAATCAACTGTGACGGAAGATCTGATGAAACTCCACACGTTTATCACGGGGGAAGAAGAAGAAGCAAGGAAGGAGCTGAAAGAAAGTCCTAATTTGTCAACTTGGAAAAAGCTCAGCGAGGCCACCCTTGCAGATGTGTGTTTGTTCAACAGAGGACGGGTAGGAAATATTGGTAGATTGCTTTTGCAAAGTTACGATAAGAAGAGTTGTGGAACATTTATGCCCTCTGCAGATCAAATTAGAAAAAGCACTAAATTGGAGCTGGACCTTGGTAGCAGTTTCACCAGATTAGAACTAGAAGGTCAGTTCGGGAGGAACATGCTGGTTCTGCTCACGGAGAAAATGGTTTCATCAATCGATTTACTCGTTGAAAATAGAGAACAAGCGGGCGTGTCAAAAATGAACCCATACCTGTTTGCACGGACTGAAGGTCCGTCCTTCATCAGAGCATTGGATTGTTTCCGAAGGTCTGCAATGGAATGTGGAGTAAAAAACCCTGAAGCCCTTCTGTCCTCATCATTAAGAGAGCAAATTGCCCTTTGCTGGCAGCTCATGAGCCTGAGTGAACACGAAGTGGATCAAGTATCCAAGATGTTGGGAAGCAGTAGCCAGGAGTGTTACAGTCTCTCAAAAAATGCATTACTACTGGAGGAAATGAGCCAACAGCTTCTCAAAATGGATCGAACGCTTCCATCAAGTCCACCTACCAATGCAAGTGACGGTGAGTACCTTTTGCATTAATGTGTTCTTTGATTTTCAAGGGCTCAAAGTATTGGTGTTCCAATCTGTATTTAACCTACTACACTGTATTTATCAGTAGATTGACCTGTGATCACTTCCAGAACTTGACAGTTAATTCGTGAACAACAATTGACAGTCTTTACTTTTCATAGCTTAACTGCCTTTTTTGTTTTAGTTTTTTAACTAGAAGCCTTCGCTTTTTCTTTTTTGAACCACCAAATCACCTTTCCTTTGGCCTCTGCATTACGTTTCTAACAAACAGGGTAAAACAATGTTGGCTAAAAGCTAGTCAGTCGCCTTAAGGTTAGAAAGTAGGCCACAGTTTGATCAAATGTTTTGCAGATTGCCTAGGAAGACATTGAAAGTAAGCCACCGCAGAGGGTCCATCTTGTCAGAAGCTTTTCTGCTCGGAGTTAAAATGATTTAAACTAGGGCGCTCAGACTCTGAGGTGCATAAGAAAACAAGACACCCCACGCTGCTAAAAAGCACTCTAACAAATACTCCAGAACAATCAACTTCAATCATACAAACAATAGCCAATTAAACAAAATCTTCCATTTTCTAAGATCAGGAATGAACGGTCAAGCTCTTGAGTCTATCACTTCAAATGTAGAGACTAATGCATTCTTTATTTCCTTTGTTTAACCATGATACACTTTATCTTTTTAGGAACTGTAGAGAAGCCTGCCTTAAAGAGAAGACCCTGGAGTGAGTGGGAGCAGGCCGCAGTGAAGCGTTACTTGGGTGAATTTATCACAGAGTTAAAGGTTCCAGGCAAAAAAGAGTGCAATGCTTGCATAGCTGCTGAACCAGATCTTTGTGGGAGATCTTGGACCGACGTCAAAAACTACGTACACAACACACTACAGACAATACGGAGGAGAAGTACCCACCATAAATCTGACGGGAGTTTAACTGAGAGTTCAAAAGGTGGAGTCCAAAACACAGAGAAAGATTTGGAAGACTCGAACGTTGTGTCTAATTTGACAACAGTGAATCTAGATCATCTGACTGAAAGCGGTTGTATGACAATGGCTCCAACCAATTTCTCCCAGGAGATGACTTCAACGTATGCTTCCTTATGTTCTACTAGTGCAGACATGAACCTTACAAGTCAACAGTTGATTTCAACTTTCACACCATTAAACGCTACTGATACACAAGTGGTTCCTACATTTACTCCACACAACAAAACAAATGCACTAATGCCTCCTGCATACACATCGGAGAACAACATCATAATGCCGTTGTCCCCTTCTTATACACAGAATGCCACAAGTATGTCAGCATCTTCTGTGTATACACCACAGGACAATACAGGTTCAACCATGATTCCTCATTTTAGCACCTTTACTGTCCCCAGCACTTCAATGGTTCCTACATTCACGCCATTGAACACAATTGCACCCATGGCCACTGCTTTCTCACCAATAAATGACAGAAATAGGCCAATTGTTTCTTCTTTCACACCTTTGAACCATGTCAGTACACCTGGGTACCCCACAGGATCACCACCTAGGGCTCCTACAACTGCTCAGGTTGTCCCAACAGTCCATAGAACGGGTGTTTCTGACAGAACACCAGTTGGACAAGAAAGTGGGTCAAGTGCAGGAGGACAAGTCAGTCCAGCTGACAAGCCTCCAAAGAGAAACAAGAGGTTGTGGAGCAAGGAGGAGCAGGATGCTGTGAGGCATCAGATGGGAGACTTCTGTACACTTGTGAAAGTGCCAGGCAAAAAGGATTGTGATGCATGTTTAGCTGCCGAACCTGCCTTAAACAGCAGAACATGGAGGGATGTCAAGTATTTTGTACATAACTCAATTCAGTCATTTAAAAGAAGAGGGCATGTTGTGGCCTGCAAACCAAGTGAAGGACAGGAACCAGAGACACAAAATAATCCACACACGGAGTGGGATGGTCCTGTGTATATGTCCCTGTAAATATTTCAAATGGACTTCCAAAAAAAACAACTAAGTGATTTTAGAGGCGTGCGAGGGCTGTAGCTTTTACCTTAATAATTCAGCAGTGAATTGGTGTCTGCCCTGCCTTTCTTTTAGTCACATTTTTGTTTAAAGTTCAAAGTATTCAGAATCATGTCCATTGGTACTGTTGCATGACTATACGCTAAATGGGTCTAACTAAGGACGTTTGTACTGTAGCTTTGGCTTTAGAAAAAGGCTGATGGTAATGTTTTGATATGGTTAGATTACATATGTGACACAGTCAATTATGTACCTCTGTCAAGTTGTCCAATCATCACGGGTTTGATCTCTGGAATGTGCTCTAATTTAGATGTGTGATCATCTAGTAAATGTAAACCTAATTTGTTCCAGGATTTGCCACCTGCAATTAGTCACTGGCTTTGGGATGAAGGAACTGTGGCACCTAAACACGCTATGATATGTGAAACTGAGCAAAGGTAGCCTCAGTGAGACATTTCCAGAGGGATTTTTACTCTTCTTTACGTCAATACCTACTGAAACACCTATCTTTCTGCTTGTACTGTTTTCAGTAGCGTTTTTATGGATTTTGATGATCATAAAACAAATTGAAAACCTACCAGCAGTATTTGCATCCAGTCCCTCCAACATGATAGATGTGGGTAGATTTGCTTTACATAATTCCCAAATGCCTGCCCCAAGTGTACCGTGTTCTTTCTTTAGCCAGTAGCCTATATTGTAGATGGCCCCTGATAGCCTGCAGCAGTAATCGCATACCTTCCCTGCTGATGTTAGAGAATTAGGAGCTCCATGTGTATACCTCTCACCTAATCATGAATCTTGTTAATAATGTTTTTTCATGTTTTTAGTTTTGTTGTATGTTTATTAATAAGCTGCTGTAAGCTTTGGTTGTTGTATTTTTGTATCACTACAGCAACGGTGCGGAACATTTGAGTATTTTATCATACTTCGTATACTCTGATTTGAGGTTTATACACTACATTTGTCTAAGATGTATTACTTCCTTTTAAGCTTTTACTATCTGGATATTGATATCTAGTAGCCAAAATCAGATTGCCTTAAATAAATGTATAACCAGAATAAAAATGAGACAATTTAAAAAAACAACTTTGATTCCCAATGGATAACATTAAAGGTCAAGTAAATTAATATAGTCGTTATCACCTTTGACTGAAAGACGGTGTTTTATTTGCCCACAAAATACACATTTAATTTTTAAGCTGAACTTTGTTCCTGTCAAACACGTACCATGTAGTAGGTTTGAAGCAGAATACTGAACACAGGTTCAACCTGAAATCCACATTGTCAATAGCAGATTGCTGGTCACAAGCCACATTTCAGTTTAAATCATTGTCACTGTAGTGTTTATTTGCCATTTAAAGGTTTAAATCTGATGTTTGGTCTGGTCAGTCGTGTCTGTCCTTATTAGGACACCAGAAAAGAACATGCCTTCTGCAGTCTTTCTTAAAAATGTCTTTGTGATCAGGAAGCTAAAGTTATGGTTTAGACTTTCAGATTGCACCAAGGCTGTTTGTGTGATTCTGAATACCAACTGTAGTGAATATGTTTTAGAGTAACCATTTTTTTTTACCCAAAGCCCTGAGTCAGACAAACAAAACCTTGACTGAGAGCCCTATCATGTGACCCGTGTTAGCTCATTCACACCAACGGCTAACATGTTTTCCTTGTATAGTTTTTGAAAGTTGCGGTATACAGTAGTGTCTACAGATGTTTAATTTTCATTCAGACGCTACACTTGCTGTTTGGTGTTGCAAAGCAACATTTCCCTGTATAGTTATAACTTCCTCTCATTGTCATTGTATGAATACACTGTGCGTTTTACTCTTCATCCTGTTGTAATTATGTTGCCTTCTCCTAATGCTTATGATCAAGTACTGTAAGGAACTTATAACCCCAGCTTGTACAATAAAATGCTTCTTGACTTAAACTTTAAAGAGTTTGTTATCAAAAAGACTATGTGTTCAAAAAACAAGTGTAAACATGCTATCATGCTAGTGAAAGGCAGGTATAATGTTTTGCCATCTTCATGATCTTGTTTAGTGTGCTAGCATTTGCCAGGATTCGTAGGACTTGTGTCTTGGTAAGTATGAACGTTTGTATAAAATGTTGTGCCAATCCAATGATGATAAATGTAAAGGAAATTATTGAATATTTGTACCTGCTTGTGATGCTAAAGGACAAGCCTTGATGACCTAAATCATTACAATTTATCCTCAGGGGACCTTTACTGTCGCTAATTAATTACGCTGCAATTCATCAAATAGTTGTCAAGAAATGTCATTAAGAAATTTGAGTACAAAAGTAAATAAAATCACACAAACATTTGCTGACCCAAGTTAAAGGGTCAGGGTTGTCACCTCAGGGAAAGAAGATTTCCCCCACCCCCGCGCGCGCGCTCCTGCAGTTGCTTCCCCTGTGTGTGTATAAGGGCATGCAAGTCAGGTTAGACTAGACTTAATTGCCTAACGAGATGAATGAAACGCGTGTGAATGTTTGTTTTCTTGTCTGTCGACCTCTCCAGAGAGTACCAGGCTGCTTGTTATTATTTATTTTTTAAATGGAATTTTTTAAAAGAAAAATAACTTTTTGAATGATTTTGATTATTTAAAATAACAATATCAGTGAAAAACCGTAACACTTATTTTACACTTTTTATGCACATTTGATCAAACTTGAATTTCCACCAAAGGATTAATGTAAAATTATTTAAAAACGGAAATTGATTTAGAATTTTATAAAGCAAATTTGACCCATTATGTCATGAATGTGAAAAGAAAAAAAGCCATAGTCTATTATAAATCTTAGATGGTGGTGAGTCTCCGTCCAAAACGAGATTAAGATTAAAATTGGGATATATTTATACCTCAAAATCCATCTCTTTTAGTTACATCTAAGTGATTCCCCCTCTCCAGCTGTTACACAATTGAAAACTTGCTAATTAAAAATCCACAGTTGCCGATTGCCCACATACGTCTGTGACATGTAGCTCTATATTTGTCTGTTGGTCCGCAGGATAGCAGCGGCATGTCTCTGAGCATGCTGGCAGCAGTGGGGGGGCAGGACGACATCCTCAGGCTGCTGATAAGGAAGGGGGTGAAGGTGAACGGACGACAGAAGAACGGCACCACAGCGCTGATGCACGCTGCTGAAAAGGTAACGGTGCATTTGACCTCAAATGAGAATGTTTCTATGAAGCTATCAAAGTCAACTTTATTGTCAATATTCCAGTTTGTGTGTACAGACAGAGAGATCGAAATACCGTTTCCCACAATCCCAAATATAAAAACAAATGTATCTAAAAATATGTGTGCAAATATTTATATATATATAACACAGAATCAAAGACACATTTTTACATGTGCGCACATTAAGACCTAAATAAAAACACAACAGTCAATATATACAAAATAACAGTCACTTCAATATTTGAGAATGTGCATTGGTGCAGCTATATTTCATTTATAACTTTTCCATCCAGAACTGGAGGAGAATAAAGATTAGACTATCATTCATAAGTTGGCCAGAGACACAACTCCAAATGAATCATAATGCTGCCTCTTGTCCATAAGCCAAGGTTTTGATCTTCAGAAAGTGATGGAAGAACATGAATCTGATTTAGGGATAATCGCATTTATTTTTAAACTGTTGACTCAAAATACACACATGCGCACACAACAGCCAAACTTGCAGAATCATTTCATTACCCAAAAAAAGTTTTATTTTCATCTTCCCGAGCAGTTTTCACACATTTCAGAAAATGTGTTGGCGATCGTATTAACATCATCTGCCGTCATCACTTTTTGGGTGTTTTTTCACACTTTTTCTCCTTAATCTCTATCCTCTGTCAGAACTTTCTGACAACCGTTGCTATCCTGCTGGAGGCGGGCTCCTGCGTCAACGCTCAGACACTCAGTGGGGAGACGGCCCTGATGAAGGTAATGCTGCATTTCACAAATAAACACACACACACCTCAGAACAACTAAAACAACCCAAGTTGGACCGTTTACACCACACATCAGTCTCAAGCAACATCGACCACTATTTAAAAGTAATTTAAAAGCTTGAAAATATAATTCTTAAAATCTATTATATGCCTATAAAAGTCTTACATGTAATATAGGTCCTTTAGAAATGTCAATTGTTAAGCATACATAGTCGATTATTAATAGTATTATTACTGATTGCAATCAAAGTCTCAAAACCAGATTGATTGAAATGTGTTTACATGTAAGGTAAAGGTGATGAGACGAGAACAAGAATATTTGTGTTGTTCTTTACGTTTGTATTAATTTCTTTTCATACATAATGAAATAGTTTACGCCAATAATCCGTCCATACATTTTTTACAATAGAACATTTTTAAATTAAATAAATAAAAATAAAGACCAGAACAAGAATATTTCAGGCTCTTGTACTCAGTTATTATTTAGTGGTAAGATCTGTAAATGGGACACAGGCTGCTTCAGTAAATATTTCCTCTCCTTCACTGCAGGCTTGCAAAAGAGGGAACGCTGACGTAGTGCGCCTCCTGCTGGAGTACGGAGCGGACTGCAACATCATGTCCAAAACCAAGACCGCTGCCATGTACTTCGCCAAGCTGGGCAACAACCTGATGGTGTGCGACCTGATCAAGGACCACGTCAGCATGTGAGTCAAACATTAGAATACTGTAATGATTCCTGGTGTGTCACAAAGCACTATGTAAGATAATACACTATGTATTTTCCCCATAATGACCAAGTCGCTGCACATTATCCTGCTTATTACATGGCCACGTTCTCAACAAAGTAACCATATGACTCCCAATATTAATTTAAATGCTTTTATGGATTTAGAATTTTTTTTTATTGATTTAAAAAATACTTATATGTATTGGTTTAAATTGACATGCATCCACTAAGAAAAATAGTCCGTTGTTACCGTTTGAAAAACGTAGCAACGGCAGGAAGGCAGAGATTTTTTATTACAGATTTGAAAACATCGTTGCTTGCTTTAAAAGTAGCACAATTAATTATGTCAAACCTTGGAAAGTGTCTAGATATCCCTGCCCTACTGCCGAAGTAACTGGCAACTGAATATGTTTTGCCGTTTGATGTCCCCTAACTAGCAGCTGTTTTAAAGAGTACCTGACCTCCCTTTATATTAATAGAACAATAATGTCATTGTTAGCTAATGAATGTTTCCATGCTGAACAACGGCAACATGACAACGTTTCCATTGGTCCCTCTTCTTTAGAGAAGACCAGGAAATGATGGATACACGGATCGTGTTCAAATCAATAGGCACGCAATGACTCTAAATAATAATGATCACGCCACCAAACACACATTCAAACTAAAGGAACCAGCCTGTTTGGGAAATGTAAGAATTAGAAAGTACAGGTATTTGGGTTCAACATGTAAGAAGTAGAAAGTACAGGTGTTTGAGTTCAAGTAGTGGAGTAAAGTACTGACACCAGAAAAATGTACTTAAGTACAGTAACGCAGTATTTATACTTCACACCTCTGGCTTTACCAGGTACATTATGTTACAAATGAAATAGAATCCCTTCATTTTGGTGTGTTCATGATGTATTTTGTCCGTAAAGTGACGGTTTGTTTCTGTCTCTCAGGCTGGCCAGTGTAGCGGAGGACGCCATCAGAGCGTACTTTGAGTCTCGCCTGGTGCTGCTGGAGCCCGTCTTCCCTCTCGCCTGCCACCGGCTCTGTGAGGGGCCCGACTTCTCGCTGGAGTTCGGCTTCAAGTCACAGCCACAACAAGAGGGTAAAACACACCCTTTCATTTGGAGGTTATAAAGTGATGTAAAAAGCAAACCACTACCTTCATTTTGAACTGATATTGCGTTTAAGATCAGGTTTTCAGAGAATTTAGAGTTGGTGTGTGTGATTTTTTTTTATTGTATATTATAGACCACACAATTGTGAATATTGATCTATGATTTCTTCTCAATAGGATAAGACGAGACATCATCTTATTGATTTAGCACCCATTTGACATATTCATTTCTATGCCTCTCTAGACCTCCATCTTTTTTATCCTTACTAAATGTTCCTCTCCCACAATACCTCTGTCCTTCTTCCCCTGCAGGCTCGGGCATCCTCCTCTTCATCTTCCACGCCAACTTCCTGAATGAGATCACGGCGCGGCTCTGCGGACCCTGCAGCGTTCACGCCGTCGTGCTCAACGACAAGTTCCAGCTGCCCATCTTCCTGGTACAGTAGCTGCAGGAGGATCAGAATGACTTACACCTGCACTAACACCTTAGAGCTTTGCATGCATTTAGTTCCCTGTTACTGTAAATTAATAGTTATCTTTCCACATTTCTTTATAGGATAGTCACTTCATCTACTCCTTCAGCCCGGCTCCAGGCATCAACAGACTCTTCATTCGTCTAGCAGAGGCGCCAACAGCCAAGGTGACACACATTCAGAGACACAACACAACACACACACACACACAATTTGAATCATGCTCATGAAACTGTCTGCTCTCTATAATTGTGTGACTGTAGTAATTACAGAATTGTTATGTACTCTCGAAAGCTGCAATAAAGTAAAAATGGTAGAAACAAGTGTCTGAAAGTGTGAGCTACGTTAGATTAGCGTTCTTGACCAATCAAAGTCCAGGACACGAGACAGAAGCTGTGTATTTAGCCAATTTTTGTGAAAATAGTGTATAGAGTGTAATGTCATAGAGAAGTGAATAATGCTCCAGCTGTTATTTGGAGTTTGTTTTATGGACATTGTATACATCATTGTTATTATGTATAATTCTTAGAGGCTAAAAAGGGCCAAGTCTTATTGGTATGAACCGTTTTTGTTAACTGTTTCTTATATCGTTCTTCTTTCTGCAGGTCAAGCTACTCAT